CGGTCCCCCCATGTCAAAAAAGCCCGGTCTAGGTAGGGTTAATACATGTACCTTTTTTACGAAGTTAAGTTTCTAGTTATTTAACATATATGTAGAATCCAGTCAAACAAGTGTTAAAATGAGTCATCTTCTTAGGCAGAATATCTTTTTTTTACCTTTTATCAAATATCAGAAATCTGTACCATTTCAATGTTAATCAAGATTCAATGTTTATGTACTGTTAACGTAGTCTAGCTCTTCATGAATTCATGTAATAAACCGCTCAAATATGACATGCTTTTCTCCTAACCTACGTATACACATTTTTGAAAGTTGTTGATTGTGTGATTGCGTGATAGTCAAACTGCCAGTACAGGGTGAACCTAATCAAATCATCAGATCAGAACCCACGGGCCCTTTTACAGGATGTTTTAATATGTGTACTTCAAAGCATTGATTGACAGCTATAAAAATTAGTCTATAATGCGACGTTTGGAATGAAGATTAAAATGCTATACCCATAAAGCACGTGTTCATGCACAGAGAACAGCTACAACTAGAGTTCGTAGGACTCATGCCTTCGACTGTGTGATATTGTTTTGGTGGATGTTTTTGTTTGTATATGGTAGTTTTTTGTGTAGATGCTTATTGTTGTTATTGATGGTATTTAAAAGTTAATACCGTGATAAATATAAAACTGAAACATAAATAGCACCGGGACTGCAGGACTGAAGCATAAATGGGACCGGGACTGCAGGACTGAAGCATAAGTAGCACCGGGACTGCAGGACTGAAGCATAAATAGCACCGGGACTGCAGGACTGAAGCATAAATGGGACCGGGACTGCAGGACTGAAGCATAAATGGCACCGGGACTGCAGGACTGAAGCATAAATAGCACCGGGACTGCAGGACTGAAGCATAAATGGGACCGGGACTGCAGGACTGAAGCATAAGTAGCACCGGGACTGCAGGACTGAAGCATAAATGGGACCGGGACTGCAGGACAATGCCCATCACTAAGACAACCTGCCTGCCAAAAATCGTGAACCTCGGACCATGCCTTCAAAATTTATTGTGCATAATATGCCAAACAGTGCCAAAACGATTTTATAGCCTTCTTGTCGAAGGCAACAACAACAACAACAAAAAAACATTTTGCGTTCAGACTAATCATAGTATTCTATAATGCGGCGTTTGAAATGAAGTACCTTAAAACGCTATACGCATAAAGCACGTGTTCATGCATAGAGAACAGCTACAACAAAAAAAAAAACATTTTGCGTCCAGACTAATCATAGTATTACTTGTCATATTTACCAGTTTTTACTGTTAACGATTGCACGGTCGTTGCTTGCCGGTACGGTGTGCGAATGTTTTGGCAGGCAAAGCCCGGCCGTACCGTCCCCACGGGGCCCGGCAACGGGCAAACTGGCGAGCCCCCGTACCAACCCACTTTTGTCCACCAGGATAGCACAAGCGACGATGAAGACCACGTGCATGAGAACAACCCAGACATACATGTGGCGTCCTCACACAAAGGAAAGGCGTATGATCATGATGAGACCGCATCACGCCCTGAAGGAGTATGTGGTGCAGGAGATGCAAACTTATATGACAAGGCAGCGAACAAAAGCACAGGTAACGACTTTTCTTGATTTTTCATGTAGTACAGATAGGGGAAGCCAATTATTTGCACAACGCTTGTTTCACTCCATTGTTAGTGAGATCGGCTTTCCGCACCGTGCAGTAAGCCTATCGCCGGCTAAATGCACCAAAATTTGCCGAACATTGTCAACAACTGAACTGTAAACATGCACTAAAAATCGGCATACGCGGTAAAAACGGGCCGATAAACGCCCGTGTAAAGGAGAAATAGCGATGTTTTACATAAAATTGTCTGTTATGAGCGACAAAAGAATGCGGTTTTGTTTATAAACACGTTGATATCGAGCGTCCCGGCGGTCCCGGGGACGTCGGCACCACAAAGGGAGGCCGGTCCGCTAAGAGCCATCAAAGGCCGTGCGTGGTGCGCTTTGATAGACAACTTGCTCTACACAATAAAAATGGTTCTCTCTCTACCTGTCTACTGTCTCACTGTCTCAGTTTTCTTGAATTTTTTAAGTCTTCGTCCGTGGCACACATGACGAAGTGTTCTATAGATAACGCTAGCCGTTGTTAGCGCTGCAATTTTCCCTTACGTAAAAAGAAAAATCGTGTTTGGAATTTAAAAAAAAACGCAGTCAAATCTTGCTGCGTTTTTGACGGGATGCTGACGTGATCACAACGTTTGAGGTAGCAAAAAACACAGTATTAGTGGGCGATCCCCGAGGTCTATGACGAGGGTATAGAAAAGAGTGCGTACAAACTTCTTGAAGACTTAGGTACCAGCTGCAGGTTTTGTGCTAGAGGCAGCCAAATGTCAAATGCAGTGTGAGGTACCGAACCATGTCGGCTGTCAGACTGTATGATTTGGATTGTGTACTTTTTCCCGTTCGTGTATAAATACGCCAGATTACGCAACTGGCCTTCCGGGTGATTCGGCTGCAGTCTAATTGACCCCGGTAGAGGGCATGAGTATGGGCTCCCTAGCGGCTTGTTCTGGAACTGCAGGAGCATTTGTTGAAAAATTTTCGGAGGATAACTCAAGAACCGGTTGACGGATTGTCGTGATTTATGGTATGTAGGTAGCAGATGACAATTATGCAAACCAGGCGCTAGGAAGTTAAGTGAAGACGAACATCAATAAACATAATTTATTCAAATCATGACCTCATTTGCATAATTATGAGGAAGTGCTCTAATAGCCTTTTTGTTAAGATAAGGCTGTCATCGGGTGGAGAATGTGATCAACTGATATAATCCATGCAAATGAGGCTCTTATTTGCAAAATCAATGATTAAAATTGTATAATTCGTCAACCGCAAGGGTTAACGTCGTATGAGATCGTGGAACTCTAGCTTGTTTTATGTTCGATGGCGGCGCTTATATAAGCGTAATTAACTTGAGTGCGTCGTCATCGCAGTCTTGTATTTTCTTTTATGTGCTTTAATAATAATAATAACAATAATAATAATAACAATAGTAATAATAACAATAATAATAATGATAATAACAATAGTAATAATAATAATAATAATGTAAAACATATGTCATATGTGTATGCATGTATTTAGACTCCAGCCGTACTTTCTGCCGGTGCCACTACATCGCTACTACAGTTGCCATTGTCGCCATGGTCCTTGCACATGTCCTTGTGATCCTGTATGTGGACGCTACGGTTAAAAAGAATGGACGAGGTAAATAGTACCTGAGGACAAACTTGTGTTTTTGCCCGCCTTTCACAAATTTAGTCAAGAACCATAATCATTTTGGCTTTGATAAGGTGTCCACATTGCACATAAGGAGTCTATTTATCTATGCAAATTCATGCAAATCATCGATGTAATATGTAAAAATAAAGCAGTGTAATATTTCTCTAACTGACGCCCAATTTAGTGAAAATTTCTACTGGTGGGAAGGCTAATTTTCTGAGACTCAGAAACCCATGTCATGTCCCGGGTACTGAGCTAAAAATGAGGAAGGAGGGCTACGTTTCTCATTTTGTAGGCCTCTTCTTCTGTGAATTTTCTTCTAGATGCTAGATTTAAAAGAGTGATTTTACGAAGATACACAGATATTCACCCATGACATATGATTAGTACATATTTCTATAACTTGCTAAAGTGATAAATAGCCACTAAATGACAAACACAGTCAGTGACTAAAATAATAACGTTTGTAGTCTTCAGTGGTACAAAATCACAAAATCAGTGGCCAATCA